GGTATGAAACCAGAGGAGAGAGTAATGATCATTGGTAGCTCCACTAGACCTTTTGGTTAGTATAAATCATGATACACTAGTAATAATTAATAATTATACAGTGTGAGTAGATGCTGATGTTAAAGGATTATGTGGCATGTATCAAAGAATCATAATGATACCAAGACCTGACTATGGATCAAGAGTCTGTAAGCACATCCATACACTGTACATGTACATGTATTGTAGCATGAGGACATCAAAATTAAAAAGTTTTAGTCGGAATCAGCTCAAATTTATAAGGATGTCAATATGTATCAGAAAATGTAATAAGAACTGGGAGGGATTTCTGAACCATATTTTGGAAAAAACCATGCATTGACTATAGCCTTGAATATTTTTCAGAATTTTGTCGTTTTCTTATAATAGCCGTAACTTGAAAAATTTAAGCCAGAATCGGCTCAAACTTTCTACACAGCATAAGGACATCAATATTTACCAGAAAATGTAATATAAATTTGGAGTAATTTTGGAGCCATTTTTTGGAAAAAAACCAAGGGCCTTGGGAAAGTTCAAATTTTTAGCATTTTTAAAAATAGCTGTAACTCAGTTGAAAAATTGAAGTCGGAATCAGTTCAAACATGCACGTGTAGAATAGCAATAATTAATTATACAATTGTTTTATTATTTTATGTACTATCAGTGCAGTGGAAGAGTCTTATAATGAAGCATGGCGAAATTATAATTAAATGATAGGCAGAACCCTAATCTTCAGTGTTGATGCAAATTAATACTTAGAACCTTGTTACTAAAAATAATCTACAAATGTATAATTATAGTATAAACAGAACTAATAATCATTTTATACCTTTTTTGTTAATTTAGTTTAATTTTAATTTAATAAAGTTTTACAGGACAAAGACAGTAGAAGAGAGAAACAAAATAAAATGATACAAATGAAAGAGATTGACCTGCAGGAAGGCAAGAACTCAGTGGTCTAGCCCCCAGAAAAACAAGCAAACAAAAAGACAAGAAAAATAAATAGAACAAAATAAATTAATAAACATAAGCAAAATTAATGTAGGCTTGGTTTAACAAGACTCCTCTTGGAAAGAAGATAGCTAAAGCTATCAAAGAAGCAATGGGAGAGGATGATGGAGGAGGAGGGAAGAAAGGGAAGGGAAAGGAAAAGAAGAAATAAACACAAAAATACAAAATACACGTACACTTATTATTAACTGTATTGTTATAATTATCTTTGTCTTTAATTCCAAATGTATGTAATATTTATAAGAGAGCAGTGAGTGTCATTATTATGCTCCCTATCATGATTAATGAATTCCTGCTCTGTGTGTGGGCTGGTATCAATGAATCTAATTAACGATCACACAATTACAAGATGTCGTTAGAGCGGGACAAGTGTTGGGCTGCTTTTACGGATCAAGATCATAAAAAAGCTGTTCGCTTACTACCATTAGTGGATGGACCGAATGAAATTGGAAGAAGAAGGCACAGTCTACTTCATTTGTCTTCAGGGAATGGCTGGTTAGATGTTACAAAAGATCTCATCACTAAATATCACTGTGACCCGCACGAAAGCCGAGATAGTGGAGATCGGACTTGTCTTCATTGGGCTGCAATAGGTAACCATGTTGATGTGATGAGATATCTCATTGATGAGTGTCACTGTGATCCAATGGCTGTTGGCATGGACGGGTGGACACCTCTTCACCATGCTGCTTATAATGGTAATTCTGCAGCTGCTGAATATTTACTATCAACTGGTAAATGTGATCCATTGGCTAAAGACAAGTATGGGAAAACACCATTTACACTAGCTAAGGAGAGAGGTCACACTGATACTCTTTCTGTCTTGAAGAAGTTTGCAAGTGGCATAAAATCATCTCATCCAATTGATTCTTATGTTAACGTCCTCCTTGTGGGTAATCCTGG